ATTCATATTTCTATTTTAATATAGTTATATATTTTAAGAATATTTTATGAATATATTTGTATGTAGCTATGTAGCTTTACAAATCGAATATTTTATGTTTTTATCAAACATATTTAAAATGTTATATTGTACTTAAATATTTTTTTTCAAATTATCTAATAAACTTCCCTAATAACAATTCAATTTTAAAGTTATAAGTAAAAGCATCTTTTAATGTATTCACAAAAGATGAATTTATAGAATATGTTTAATGTTTGATAGAAATCATTGTCATGCTTTATAATTTCAATCCTTCCATAAACATTGGTTAAGCATCGTTTTTCAATATACTTCTTATTATGTTCTTACAACTATGATGCATTTTTTCTTTTATGCAATTTCTCTCGAAATTGTATATTTGATTACAATTAAGATGTTTTGAACGACGCGTTGCATCTGCATATGCGTTGCGCCGATTGCTTGACGTTTCAACCTGCCCTTAATTGTTCTCATAAATGTAACGAGCATATTGTCTCCATATTACATTGATGAATGGCCAATTTAACGATATACTGAACGTTTTATGGGTTTGTGTATGGTACAGAGACACGTCAAATTGATACGATTAACATTTTTCATTTGCGTTCATTGCTTTAGTGACAATTGATATTTATTCTAAGAATTTTATCGTCACGGAACATAAGTGATCTCATAGAAAATAAATATAAATTATATGTACTCGTCAGTTGGCATTATTGAGCAAGCAGACTCGGGACGCGAGCTTGTGCAAGTCTTTTCATTCAGAAGTAATGGATTTCCAATAATTACGCTTACAACGAAAACCACCATCAAAGACGTGTGTTGCCTGTACATGCACGGATATAGGGTTAGAAGTCAAGGCTTGGATACAACTTTTTTTTCCAACCATGTTAAAGGCTTATGAATTGACGGATGATGCGTTAAACGTTAACTTTGATTCCTTTATTAACAAAGGACTTTCGTTTTCGCTTTTTTCATAATACTTCCTTAGTTTATAGTATTCTTCTAATCTGCTAATCTCGATATCTCATGGAATCGTTATTCGAATATAAAGAAGAGCAAGTAATTTCTTATCAAGGCATAGCTATGATTAACTTTTTAATTTGATAACTGACATGTTTGAAAACAAAATTTCATACTTATTTTTTATCAAGAAAAAAACAAATCTTCAATTATAATTTACGATTTTTTATCTTAAAAATTTCATGATAAAAATTATTCTTTTCATAAAAAGAAATCATTTTTTATCGTTCAGATTAAACATAATTGAATTTCCAAATTTTTAGAACTTCTTTATAATAAAAAAAAAAAAATTAATTTTTTATATATATATATAATTTTTTATATATATTTTTTATATATATATATAAATATATTATATATATATATATATATATATTATATCATATCTGATAAGTGTATCAAAACAATTATATTCGCATTACACTCCAAAGCGTTTGATTTCTAAAACTCGCGCATGACCATTCCTCTGTACATTCTCATCGATACACATACACTATTATTCATAAGTATCCATACATTTGGTATACAAGGATAGACATAAATTATAATTTTATAATTACGATTTAAAATTCAAGCTTCAATCACAAATAATATAAAAAAAATTGAATTATGTTATATTTTAAAGATGTTATCACAAACATATCCCGATAAACATTACAGTTTATAGTTGGCAAAGTGAGACTTGTAGCCGAGAGTGTACGTGCCTTCAAACAACTGGTTCCTTAAATACCAATGCCGTTCACGGGGTTCTCGTCACGTTCCAACGTCGTGTCGAGATTGTTTAGCAGAAACAAACGATAATAACGCGGAGAACGACGAGGTATCGTCGCAGCTGTGAAAACAGCCTTCTCTTCCATCCGTGCAACGTTCCTCCCCCCCGTTGTCTATTTTCCAGACGAAATCGAGCGGCTCGTGTCGAACACGAGTCGGATTCGCCTAGTTTCCGAGACAAGCGTCGAAACAAGCCGTTCTCGCGAGGGAACGGCACCCAAGAATGCCGTTACTAGCTGCACGTGGCGATTATAATCCGGCACCCGATGTGCCAGCCGATTTATACGGACGAAAGTGATTTCTCATGGATTCCATCCCGTGTTCCGCACTCGAGTATGCAAGTAGTCATGTATTCTATATTCTGTTATAATATATCGTGTACAAGTTTATAGAAATGATATTTATTCAATTTAGATAAATCTCGAATATGATAAATTAAAAATGAACGTAGATTTTAGTTACGAGTTCACTTTGGCCTTTGATCGTATATATGCTTTATGTAGAGCGTTGTATGGTAAATTGGTTATTAAATAGATTAAGTGTTTCCTTCGATTTTAGGATAATAGAGTTAGTTTGGACCTTGGAAATAGCAATTTTCGTAAAGCGTAAAGCGGAAAAGATCCGAGTTTGAAATATTTATAAATTACTGCTAAGACGAGAAATTAGAATTTTGATATGAACGATAATTAGTTGTTTTCGAATGTAGAAATTTATTGGATTAAGAATCTAATAGGTATATCGAATTCTTTTTTTTTTTTTTTTTTTTTTAGTTTCAAATATTTTTCATATGATCCTGTTATAAATTATAAATTATAGCAAAATATTTTTTCCGTGTGTTAAAACTTAACCATCGATTTTCACACGATTAATGGGTCTAGGTTATCCATTTCTCGGGGCATAAGTCGAACGGATAATTTCCAGCATTCGTCACGCTTGAAAGTGCGGTAAAACGATCCAAGGGATTCGGTTTTTAGGTTATTGGAATCGGCCATTGAATGTAGATCGACGATATATTTTTGGAGGGTAAACTATTTCACACGAAATACGATACCGATGTCTAGATTAGATTAAGCTCGATAAAATTCTCGGTTATTTATTTATACAGAGGCCATCTTTCTCAAAACTCTTCACGAGCAAAATGATATTCAAACAAGTGTTCTATGTTTTTCGCACAATCTCTTTCGTAACAAGTTAATTTAATTACATCGATGTTTTACGTTACCGTGATAACATATCTGTAATTCAATTCGAAACTCGTGGTACAAGTTGTTTAAAAAAAATATTTTAACAAACTTTAGTAAAACTTTGTGTACATTTTAAATCTTGTCGACGCGTTAAGTATTTAATTGTTTAAGATAGGTTAAGGTCAAGCGTGAGAAAAACGACTCCTCTTTAACACGAGATTCAAAAACGAAGAGAGAGATGATCCAAGGTTTATTTAACTCCTCGTGACGAGTATTTTTTCACGAGTTGCACTATATAAATCCAAGGATACATTCTTCTTCACTTTTGAAAAAAAACTTTCTCCTTCGAATTACATTTCTTACTGGAATATTTTTATCTTGGAACGATTAAAGTGAAACGGGCGATAATAGTAATAACGCTGTAATTCCCTAGAATTTTTAAAATGCGTAAAGGTATAATAAAGAGGATCAGAGAGATAAGAGAGGCCGCCGTTTTTCCCTCTAACGAAACAGATTTGCGAAATCGTGGCACCGCCGTTTTCTCTTTTTTTCTTTTTTTCTTTTTTTTTTTTTCCTGTCCAAAGTATCATCTCGGAGGCGCAATTGAGCATAATCGAGCGACCAATTAGAGAGGCAGGATTCTTTCTGCGAGGGAATTTGAAGTGACACGGGCTCATCGTCTCGTTAAACAAATGGGACAATCAAAGGGATCCCTTTAGATTGCAGGGAAACGATGCGGATGAGTCTAATAACTCAATAAAAAGGGGGTCCCTGATGATGGAGATCGTGGACCGTGCGAAGGCCATCCAACGATTCAAGAGTTTTTTTTTTTTTAAACATTTTCATATTAAAAATTTCCCACCTTCGAAATTAATCCATCGATAAATGTATTAAAATAATCGTCAGGGAAATCTCTAAATGGACGATTATTTAAAAAAGTAGTTTCAAATCAATTTAAAATAATTAATATAAAACGTATATGATAAATATTTCATCCACTATTTGATCCATGGATCGCTGCATTCATTTATGGGATATCTTGAACTTAAGAAACGATGAGCAACAGTTTTGAAAAGGAGATCTAGAAATATAACACCCTTTTAAGAGAGATGAGGTATCGTAAAAAATTGTTCCCCTGAATAGTTTCGCGACAATCGAACTCCTTTTTGGCCGCAAAATACACGAGCGGAAAGAAGGAGAAGGCGGATTATTCGGTGGCTTGGCATCCCTGCTTACTCGGTCGACAGAATCTAGCACGGAGTTGCTAGATTCTCGATTACGAAGCCACGTTGACGGGGTAAAGAGAGTTCCCAGATTGCTTTTCCTTCGTAAACACATCCGACATCGGGCCATCGATCCACCGGAAACTCTGTGATTTCAGCGTTTCTGTGATTTGACCGCGTTTGCC